CAGAGAGTGTGTCAAAGGTGATAGGAGATGGCCAGGTTCACAGAGAGGGACAGAGCTTCCGAAATAGGTGGCCAAGGGGTTGGACAAGGTTCAGATAAGGTGGGGTCTGGTGAAAGGCCTAGGATAGGGTAGGGTAGGGTAGGGTAGGATAGGGTAGGGTAGGGTAGGGTAGGGTAGGGTAGGGTAGGGTATAGCCTAGGGTGGGGAAGGGCATACCCTAGGGTAGTTGGGAAGGTATAGTCTATGTTAGGGTAGAACATACCCTGGGGGGTAGGGAAGGGGTCGGAAGAGGTTCAGAGATGGCAAGAGATCAGCTTCGGAGATGGTGAGGCTCACAGGAACACAGATCTGGAAAGGGATCAGTGGAGGCTTGAAGATGGGGACGCATGTTTCGATAACATTCACTTGAAGGTAAACAATACCGGTTCACACAGGTGCGCAGATAAACTTCAGAGATGCCAAGGAAGGACGTTCAACGGTAAGGGTGTCCAGAGACCGCAAAGGACCGGGTACGGAGACGGTAGGTCCAAAAAAGAGATGCCGTGCCGAGGTGTAGAAAAGGGGGAAGATTGAACACAGGGTGAAACGTTGGACAAGGGGTGGGGGAAGGTAAGCAAGACAGGCTCAATGGAGTGGCCAAATCAGATGGCAAGGAAGGAGCTTCAACAACGCTAACAATACCGGTTCACACAGGTGCGTAGATAAACTTCAGAGATGCCAACGAGCTTCAACAAGGGATGAAGATTTGGGACCCAAAGGCAGGAAGCTTGGAGGTGGTGAGGTTGAGGGAGGTGGGTGGATGCTAGCCTCAGTCAAGGGGTGAGAAGAGATCGGCAGCTGGTGAAGGAGTGGGTAGGCGTTGAGGTTCGGAACACGAGTGGACAGGTCTCCAAAGATGGCTAGGGAGGCTCGGAAACGGTCAACCTTCTGGCAGCGGTGGTTTACGAGGGGGTTGCTGAGAGAGGGGTACAGCGTTTCAATAACGGATAAGAGGAGGCGCATGGATCGCGAGCAGGAAGGCATGAAGAGGATGGGTTGGGAGGAGGTACGCAAATCATGCAGTTGAGAGGAGGGGGAGGAGTGTGGGGAGGTTAAGAGAAGGGGCTGGTGGTGGGGCTGGGAAGAACTAAAGAGACAGGAACAAGAGGAGGCTCCCGGATGGTGAGGTTCGAAGATGTGAGACAAGACAAGGAAAGATACGGAGACCGCATGGATTCGCTCGTCTAGTACGCTGGCGCTCCGAGAAGTACGAAAACGCTAAGCAAGGAAGAGATGGTAAAGGAGTCGTTTCAGACGCAGAGAAGCATCGTGGTGAACTTCAGAGAAGGTGGGTGAGGATATTCACAGGCTTGGAGAACGCGATGTTCAGAAAAGCAGTACGAGGACATCAACGATACGGGAGGACCAGATTGGTATAGCGAGAAACTTCTGAAAGAGAGAAAGTAGGTTTTAGACAAGGTTGGCATTCAGGGGAGCACTTGTTAACAATGGAACAATACAGAGAAGATTAGCATGGACCCTGCCCGGCACAGGGATGACATGCGGAAATTGAGAAATAGTCCAAATTGGTAAATAGTAAATACATATATAGACCGGGGTTCTTTACAAAAGCGAAGGAAAAAGAAAAGGTATGGCACAAAGGTCCCACAAGAGGCTGAGGGTAGATTCAGAGAAGGGAAGGGAAGAGAAATATTGACATGAGACCACTCGTCCATTCGAGCCTCTTCTCCCTACCCGGATAGCGGCCGTGCGCCAAAAGAAAAAACGAACGACCGTGGGCACAAAATTGCATCCTTTTGCCTGATGCCACCAGCTTTTCCCGTCCAGCAGGCCCGATTCGCAATGTTCTAGCGGATCAACTGCTGCCTTAAAATAAAATAGCCGGGGAATCGACCGGTAGTTTGCGGAGGGGGCAATCCATTTCATGTCCACTTTCATCCACTGTGCTGGGACCCAGAAGGTCCCCTTAGGGACATGACGTAAAATTGGAACAGGTAGGTTCCTTGGAGGTGATTGAAGAAGATTGTGAAAACGGAAAAGGAGGACAAGTGGAAACAAAAGCCGAACGCCGTCCTTAGGGACATCGGATGAATTTGGAATGATACAGCGAAGATCCGCATGGCCCCTGCGCACGGAGGACAAACATAGATCAAGACACGGTCCAAATTTTGGGAAAAAGAGACGAGAACGCATGTCGGAAAAAAAAAAACACCCCCTCTTGACCTGTTTCTTAATCTGAACCATTCCTCGATATGTGTGTGCTGCATCCATACTCTGGGGCCATGCTCTGTATCTTCTCCGTAATGCTCCAATTTCAATGGATGCCCCGAATGACAAATGAACGCTAACACTCTGATCAGATATTTGGAAGACCCCACCCTTGTGGCTGAGTGGTCCCCACATCTATGTGTAGACAAACAGATCACGAGTCCGAATGGTGTGGAAACAATAATTTTAGGCTAAAACCCCTTCAGAAAAAAAAGAAGAGAATGAACCTTCAAACCAAGCTGTGGTGTAGGATCTCTGACCGGCATGAAGAAATCCTAATAAACTATTAAAACTACTTTTTCTTGTTTCATCCAAAAGCAAAAAAGGTCACCACCTTCTCCCTTTATGAAGTCTACTTAGTTATGATTTATTTATTACTATTACAATTATATAATTTATTATTTATTAATTCATATGAATATTATTATTATATTATGGGATAACTGGGAAAATACCCCCATAAGTTCAGATATATGCCAAAATGCCCCTGAAAGATGTGGGTAGAGCAGAATGGCCCTTTAGGGCCGAAATTTTTGTGTTATGCCCATGTCAAGTGGGTGTGCAAATTTGAAATCTGGACCTCGCCATTTGGGCCTCGCCTTTTGCAATCGGGACTTGGAAAAGTTGACAAGTACCAGAGTGCAAGGAAAATGAGCAATAGCGAGATGACAATGTCCAG